AATGAAAAAAAAGTTCTTTCCCAAAAGCAATCGTTTCGCCAACACAAGCAGAAAGATTTTTGAATCATTCAAATCAAATGCTTAGTTCTTTAAAAAACTGCTATTTTTTGCACATTTAGCTCGGTATGTCCGAAACGGCTGAACCTGCTATTGCCAAAAACTAATCACCACTTTCTCCCATAATTACAAATTGAATATTATTTGGATTTTAATGATGTTTCGGATTTTTTTTAGTATGTTTTGTGCTGGTGTACCAGAAGGCGGTAAAGACTCCTGTCAAGGGGACAGTGGTGGCCCTTTAGTAGATGATGCAGGAGTTCTGCACGGTATCGTCTCGTGGGGTGTTGGCTGTGGCCGTCCAGGAATTCCAGGAATATACACGAGAGTCGACTCAAAAGACGTTAGAGATTTTATAAGATTCCATACTGGAATCTAATATATTGAAATAATAATCATGTAATCATCTTATTTATTATTAATGCATCCCATACTATTTGTATTCAGAATAAAATTCAATAAACATTACTTTTGATATAGCATCAAAATTTGTAGTAAATAATTTATTTATTACTAAAACATATTTAAAAATAATTTATAATTGCTGCTATTCATTTTACAGATAGGTTTTAAAAGGCCAAGTTTATAGTATATATTGTATATATAGTGATAACCATAATAGTTTATATGTTTTATATATACACATATATATATATATATATATATATATATATATATAAATTGTACTTGTAATATTGAAGAATAAAATATTAGAAATATCAATAGGAAATATGAAAATGGAATACGATGCCAATAAAGTTAGTAGGTGTATGGCATAGAAATGAAAAAAAATATAAGTGGCTAATGCTATAGCCAATTAAAAAAAAGTACTGGTACAAAATCTAAGCAAGTTATAGAAGCATAAATTAATGGTCATCTTGTAAAAATAAAATCTTTATTTATAGATCGGTCAAATTAAACCTAAAATCAGGGTGAAGGTTGTAATAGACATTTAAAAAATTGGACAATAATAAATATATAACAATATTAGAATTCTATCTCAATTTGGATAAATGACAAATAAGTGAGCAGTAAGAATAGACCATTTTGCTAAAGTCAACTTATCGAATTACATTAATTTTATATTTCTTATTTAGTGATATACTATAATTTAATTCGTGATTATGATATACTTAATAATTGCTCTATGAACAAACAAAATATTCGAACTATGGAATCAAATGTTAATTTAATTTCAACTTATCTATAATTGATTGATAAGATGCCTTTATACATAAGATGGTAACAAATGCATTTTCATCAAAGTTATAATTTTGAAACAAACTTGTAAAATCACTGCATGAAAAAATATTTGGGATCAATAATAAGTATAAACTTAGTATCAAAGTGATAATTTTTTATAAAGTTTGAAATGAAATTGGTATTTGTGTGCATTGCTATACAATGCATTATATCAAGTAAGTATGAAAAGGTTGAATTTTAATCGCAAAAGGTAGAAAGTTATAAGTTAATAAATAGACATATGTGTTTTTTAATTTGGAGGTGTCAAAAGTCTAATTCAAATACTTCATGTATATTGACATATATGCAACTATAGTAAAAATATATAATTAAAATAATTTAACTAGTATGTGCGTTGGCAAGTAATCGCATAATGGGTGGTGTTGAAGTTGACATAAAAAAATTTGGTTGGCAACTTTCCCTGCAGTATGAATCTGAACATAAATGTGGTGCATCAATCATCAGCAAAGATTGGGCAATAACAGCCGCACACTGTGTTGAAGAGTAAGCTAATAAACAAAATTCATTATTATTGAAATATTAATAAAGAAGTATTTACTATTTTGCTTAAGTTACAAAATGCGAATAAATATTTCATTTTCTTAGTTTGTTTCAAATTCCACAACTGTTGTCGCTCCGTGCTGGAAGCGATCAACATGATTCAGGCGGAGTTGTATATGGCATCAGCGAAGTTTGGATCCACCCTGGTTATGGTTTAAGTATGAATTATGATGTAGCTTTACTAAAAGTTTCTGAAACATTTGATTTCACTGTCTGCACCATTAGACCAATAACCTTAGCAGCAAAAAATGATCAGCCAGAGACTGGTGCTCCAGTTACTGTCACCGGATGGGGACACTCTAAGGTAATTTAAATTAAATATTAAGTTAAGTTAAGTTTATATTAAAAATTAAGTATTAAATATATATTAGGATGGTCCTTAATATAGTTGTTTCCGAATTTTCTTGCTCCCAGATGATGAAATGCTTTCAAATTGATGAAAAAGAATTCTTTGAGAGTTCTAGCTCTCAATATTAACTTTAAGATAGTCCGCACTCCAACCAAAGGTTCTTGGTTCTTCTTCTTAAATAAATATTTACTTTATAAAATATATAATTTTTTTTAGTATATATATATATGTAATCCCTAATATTTATTATTTATCAACTCTGAAGCAAATATATATCAATGGACTTATTTCTGTGACAACTATAATCTCATTAACATATGTCGATGATTTTAAATGATTGATTTTAGATTCTAAATATAATTTAGGTATGGATTTACAGTTAAAGATCAGTTTCGGCATCAGTTTTAACTTATACAGTAAACCCTCGCTTTACGCGGCAAGTGCGTACCGTGCAGTATGGGGACTGCGCTATAAAAAATTCGTATTTAACATACAATTCAGGCTAATTCGTAGTGCGTTCTATGGAAACTTATATAGTGCAGTACGGGAACCGCGCGAGTTAGTACAAATCGCACCATTTTTCTCGTGCTGTATGGAGACCAAGAAATAAAACTTCAAGTAGAAGTAATACAACCGAAATGACATGTATGACCTAGACGCCTTATTCAAAAATTGGCGCGACGCAGTAGTCAGTTCAAACGTGTTCTTAGATAGCTATTATATAATCAGGCATGTCTAAAACATAAAAGTTGATAATAAAACTTACATTAATACTCTTTTGTTATCAAGTTCCTAGAATCACTCATAGGTTGTGCAAGGAACTTATGGGCTGTTGAACAAAAACCGTATAATAGGAAGTCCGTGTAGTCGGAGGGATGTCGGACTTTTAGCTCCGCGTAGTATGGAAACCATGTACCAAAAGTGCCGTGTGAACCGAAGGTTGACTGTATTTATCTATATATAGATCTAGAATATGTTTATTAAAAATCATGAGTATTAGAGAAATTCTAATATAAAAAACATCAGATAGAGGTAAGTCGATCGTCCAATTGCTTTTTAAAAAAGTTTTGTAGTTATCAAAAATAAGTTAATTTTGAAGACGGTTGAAAAATATTTTCTAATTAATTTACAATAAAAGATAATCAAATACCTCTGCATTGGTAAATAATATAGAATAAAAATCAGAACCTTGGGTCGTTTGACAACGTAATTATTTTAGGTATCTAACCGGATTTCTGAATGTAAAGTTGTTCACTTTATATGACGACAACAACAGTACAGTCAACACTCCTTTAACACGACACTCTGGGAACACTCTGGGTTTCTATACTACAGGGTACCAAAAATCCGACATCCCTCCAATAACAGAGACTCCATATAGCACTAATGTCGTATTAACACACAGATAAATCTGAGATTTTTATAGCAAGGTTCCCATACTACACGATACGCACTTGCCGCGTTAACGGAGGGTTGATTGTATATGCCACCATCATGTCAGAAAAAATCAGTGCAATATCATAAACATCGCTATTATTTCATTTACAAAAACATGCTCTGAATCGCAGTAAATATTTTTTGGCGAGTTGATTCGAATCCAGTAAAATCAGAGTTGGCACAGAATACGAGTTGGTTCGAATCCAGTAAAATTAGAGTTGGAACATCACAAATTTAGATTGAATTTAGTCAAGTACATAAATATCAACAAAATTTGCAAGTAAAGATTGTAGTTTTACTAATAGAAATTAATTTACAATTACAGGAGAATGGATCTATGGAAAAGTATTTGCATGGAGTGGAACTAAACATTGTAGATCACGACACATGTGATGAAATATATACTGAGTTTGGTGGAATAACTGAAAAGTAAGTAATTTAGTATATAATTAGTATATAATAATAAAACATCTTACTTTTATATATTTATTCTCATAATTTTGAATTCATATTTAGAAAATAATATGTGTTTGGTAATCTTTCACATTTTTTATGAATGGTATTTAAATAATTTTTATAACCATTTTTATATAGCATGATATGCGCTGGTGTGGATGAAGGAGGAAAAGATTCTTGCAAAGGAGATAGTGGAGGACCACTTATTGATAAAAATAGAAAATTGGTTGGAATCGTGTCATGGGGTTTTGTTTGCGGGAGATCAAACAATCCAGGCGTTTACACAAATATAGCAAGCACCAGTATAAGGGATTACATATTCAATATGACAGGAATTTGAAATTCAAATCGTAAAATGTAAAAATTAGATAAATATAAATAAAAAAACAGCATTTTTAATATTGGTTTCAATTAGCGTAAGGTTGTTAAAGACAAGTTGCGCTCTGAAAAAAATCTATAATATCAGGCGACAATATTTTGTACCAGGAAGTCAAAAAGCACATTTTTATAATCTTTACTAATTTTCGTGAAATTGAAAAAAAAACTTAATAACGTTTAAAATAATAATATTAAACAAAATTAATAATGTAAGAAGCTATTGTAACACGCATTCAGAAATATGCATTTGCAACGTATTGCCCATAAAACGATTCTTGTTGCATATATCATTTTCAGATATTTGATGTGTCGTTATAATTTTATTATGAAGCATTTGTCAAGATTCAATTTAAACCTATACTTTTCCAAAATTCTAAATAATTCGCGACAAAAGATCTATCTCTGTGACAATTATACTTTTAGAAAAACACGGGACATAAGGTGAAAGCGGGGACTTTTTATAATATTTAGTGCAATTAAAATAAAAGAAAATCATTATCAATCATTAATATTTTTTTTGTATTAAGTTGATTTCTCATCATCTATCAGAGATTTTTTTGAAGTAAGATTTCTTTAGGCGCGACTAGCGAGTAAATCTGTAAATGCAACGGAAGTAGTGTTACGCCCGAACTGTTCGTCATTTGCTCCCGATGAAATCATTTTTCTACGGGTCGATTGTGATTAGTCGTTGTGTCGAGTGAATTGTGATTAGTCATTGTGTCGAGTGAATTGTGATTAGTCGTGGTGTGAGAAATCTTTGGTTGTATACGTACCGGCGTACATCAACGAGGAGATCGGAATGCCATTAGATTTTAAGGTTACATCATAGTACAAATCTTGATTTAATAAAAAATGCCTGAATCAGAAGAATGTTTTACCATGTCCCCCGTGAAAATTATAATGAAAATAATAAACAAATGAAACATGTGTGCCGTGTAAGAAACGTAAGTTGAATAATTTTTATATTATTCGCAGTTTATATAAATTTTTGATGTTATTAAAGTGAAAAATAGTTTTATAGACAAGACAGATATTTATAGCTGCTCAAAGAATAAGATTGCATCGCCTGCGAAAAAGCAATAAAAATACATGCAGTTAATGAATGTTAATTTTAATTACACGAAGTTTTTCAAACACAATTACATGATGAGTGAAATTGTGAAAACAATATTTCTTTAGGCGTTGTTTAAAATAATTCACTGTGTGAACGAATATTATAGAATTTATTAATCAGCAATTACTTTATTTCCTCAATGAAGGTTCAAGTCCTAAATGCTAACTACAATGACAAACCGATCATATCATATTTAAAGAATGACTTTAATTACATTATTGTTTTCAAATATCATAAATATTTCAAAAACTATTATAATTATATAATTTATAATTGATGATTTGATTGATAATTATTAGAATTGATATATAAATATGTATAATGAATAACATTAATAAATGTGTGCATCACGAGTGCATGAGTATACTCTTCTTTTATCTATGCACGAGTGTTACCTTATTACTAATAAACAATATTGAAAATTGTTATTATGATGTATATATTTTCAATTCGAGTGCCATCTTGCAAAAAAAGTTTTACTTCAATCGCGTGTGAACCTTACGCGCCCTCTTTTTTTAATGAAATAGTTATTTTTATGTTTTTTTAAATTTTTATAAAAGTAATAAAATTTGTAGACGAGCAACTCAATAATATGTAGCAATTCCAAGATTTAACTTTTAAAAAAGAAGAAACAGTTCGTCAGTATGGACTTTTTAGCAAATTGCTAGAAGAATTAAAATACTTCAAAACCCATAAATTAACTGATTATTGTTTTTTGTTGGCAGTATATACAATCTTACATTTCTTTAAGGTTAATTATTTTTTCAAATGTAAATCGGTATTCAAATTTTAGAACTCTAATATATTCATTACATTTTCGTTTAGTATTATTAACATATGAATTCAAAGTTTTGCAAAATAATGTTTATACATTAGTAGATAATATCAATTTAATTATTTGATTGTTACAAAAAGTACCACGATAAAGACAAGGACTAACATCAAATAAAAAACTAATGCAAAACTCATAAAAAATTATGATATATTATAGCTCTAAACTCGTAAAAATAGATTACTTTCAACGCTTGTGTATAATTTATATATATATATATATATATATATATATATATATATATATTCTAGCAAAAACATGTTCCGAGAACAATTTAAAAATATGAAGCTATTGCTATTGTTCATACTAGTAATTTCGGTAACATGCAGTAAGTTCTAATAATTACTGTTATAGCATAGCTAGTGTTGATAAATAATAAATACAATAGTGTTGATAGTTATTAAATATTATCAAATTACATTTATTATTACTTAGTATTTGAACCCTAAATAATCTGCTAACATCTTTAAGTCTAAGGATATTAATTTGAGATAAATTTTGTTTCAAAAATAGAGCAAAGAAAAGTAAGTACGGGGCGCATTGTAGGAGGCCATGATATTGACATTTCGCATCATCCTTGGCAATTGTGCTTGGTGAAATACTGGATAGCCCCCATGTGCGGTGCCTCAATATTGAGCGAAAATTGGGCAATAAGCGCTGCTCATTGCATACCGGATACTGACAGGTACATCAAAATAAATTTCATTTTAGTGGCTTAAGGCAAATTGCTGGAACTTTCCGTATTGTAATAAAACATTCCCAGAAACTAATAATTTCTTCACAGTAGCAACACAAACAAAGTGTTTTTTTGGACTTTTTGCTCCGCATCTCCGAAACGCCTGGAGCTAACTTTGCAAAAAACTAATCAGCATATTTTCCCATCAATACGAACCGATTATTTTTTGAATCATTCTAATCGGATGTCCGGTTCTCGCAAAAAACGAATTTCGATTTTCAGCACTTTTTGTTACCTATCTCCGAAACAGCTGGACCTGTCTTTGCCAAAAACTAATTAGCACGCCTCTCTATCAATAGGAAACAAATGTTTAAGAATCGTTCGAATTGATAAATCCGTGCTCCCTAAAACGTCGACAAAAAATTATATCTACACATACCTACACACACACACATACATACATCAATTTTTCTAAGGTATGCCCAATTGTTCAGAAATCTCTGAAACGTAAAGATATGCAAAAATTTTCCATTTTTTGACGATTACTATAAGTTACCCTATGCCTACGGGTACGGACTTTTCGCAGGTGATAATTATTGTTTAGCCAGAAAATGCTAATTTTATTTTTTCTTGACGTTCCAAGACATTACGAATCGTTTGAGAATATTTGAAAATTTAAATATGACGTTTCGTAAAAAATTTGAGAACAATTTAATGAAACTCGATAAGGACTCTCATTTATTTTGGACTCAAGTTTTGCGAGTCCATTTGCCCAAAATGCTAGAACGATTTTTAAAATGAAAAAACCGGGTTAAAAAATCAATTAAAATTCGTGTTGATTAGTTTTCGATAAAGCTCCATCGAGCCATTTCATCGCAATTAACTGTAGGATTTTTTTGAATGATTTTAATAAAACTTTGTATGACGATGGAAACTTAACAAGCATTCTAAAATATTATAGGCTTACAAAAACTGGTTTTATTATGAAAAATTTCAGAAACAATTTTCTAATTTTTATGTTTTTATGAGGCTAAAAATTATTTTAAATATTAACCAATTGTTTATTACTGTTTATGGTTATAAATGGTTATGGAATATTTTTACTGGTACATTTTTTTAATGATTTTTCTTCAAAATGCAATATAACAGAGTTCAAAAACTTATATTATGTTTTAATGCGTTAATATGTTTTGTAAGCATAGTTTCAAATCGTTTGGGATTTTTTTATTTGTTTTTATGTTGTTGAAGTCGTTTTATAAATTTTGGCTAATCTCACCCAGAACCCCAGATGTCATTAACAAAATAATGTTATTATTTAAATATAAGTTAGTTAACAGACTAACACTTTTAAATAGTTCACAAAACATTTTAGTTTTTATTTAATTAAAAATGATTTTATAAATCCGCTTTTGATAATTTATAAACATTTTATACATTATCAACACATATATGTGATACAAATTGAGGTGCATTTTTTGGCAGTAGATGTTCTAAAATAAAGTTTAGGTATATGTCAGTCATTAATGTTCCAAGGCATTTACATATTCTTATTTTATAGATATCAGTTGTGTTTTTTTGAACAATTTTCCAAAGAGTTCAAAAATTTACATCACTAACATTCTTGCTCTAATTTATATAACATACGATTATTGTATGCAGGAAAGTATAATTTATATCACAGAATTTTTTTTCTTTCTGCGTAGTTTATAATAAATTGACTAATAAAGCAATCAATGGTTTGAAGAGTTCTCAAGAAAAACTTTTGTAACTGATGTATGTTTAAATTTAATTGCAAGTTGCTGTAAATACCAGATGGAATATTTATTTTTTTTGTAAAAAACGACAATATTGGATTAAAAAGCTGCAGAATTCGAAGAAAGTCAACAGAATTAAAAAATATCGAAAAATAATGATAGATTAAAAATATTTTAGAAAATCGATAAAAATCAATTTTTGTGAATTCACAACGAGACGTGTATCCTTAGAAAACATGCATAGAAATGAAAATGCACTAACCTTTGTCACCGATTCTTCTGGAACATCGTGATTACCATTTTTTTGTCTGACGATTTAGAAAAAAAATTGAGCAATTTTTTAATATATTATGAAATATTGATTTGTGCTTGAAAATGTGTCCATTACTTCGCGATTCCCAGAAGAAGGCTGTTCAGGAACCAGGAACAATACACTCTTACTGTACTTTACTTTACTAGAGTTTACTAGAGCACTATAAAAGCTTTTATAAAGAGCACTAAACAAACACTAAACGATAAACAAACTCGGATTAGAAAATAGATCAAAAACCGTGAAAAACAATCACTACGTTGTCACAAAAATCAATTTTTGTGAATCCACAACAAGACGTGTGACCGTACTCTTAGAAATC